GCTAAGGGCGGCCAGAGAGAAAGGTTGGGTTACCCACAAAAGGAAGCACATCAGACTCACAGCGAATCTCTCAGCAGAAACCCTACAAGCCAGAAGAGAGTGGGGGCCAATATTCAACATCCTTAAAGAAAAGAACTTTCAACCCAGAATTTCATATCCAGCCAAACTAAACTTTATAAGTGAAGGAAAAATAAAATCCTTTATGAACAAGCAATTGCTCAGAAATTTCATCACCATCAGGCCTGCTTTACAAGAGCTCCTAGAAGAAGCACTAAACATAGAAAGGAACAACCAGTACCAGCCACTCCAAAAATGTACCAAATGGTAAAGAGCATCAACACAATGAAAAAACTGCATTAACTAATGGGCAAAACAACCAGCTATCATCAAAATGGCAGGATCAAATTCACACGTAACAATATTTACCTTAAATGTAAATGGGCTAAATGCCCCAGTCAAAAGACACAGACTGGCAGATTGGATAAAAAGTCAAAACCCATTGGTGTGCTGTATCCAGAAAACCCATCTCACATGCAAGGATACACACAGGCTCAAAATAAAGGGATGGAGGAAGATCTACCAGGCAAATGGAGAGAAAAAAAAAGCAGACTTTGCAATCCTAGTCTCTGATAAAATAGACTTTAAACCAACAAAGATTAAAAGAGACAAAGAAGGGCATTACATAATGGTAAAAGGATCAATGCAACAAGAAAAGCTAACGATCCTAAATATATACACACCCAATACAGGAGCACCCAGATACATAAAGCAAGTTCTTAATGACTTACAAAGAGACTTAGACTCCCATACAATAATAGTGGGAGACTTTAACACTCCACTGTCAATATTAGACAGATCAGTGAGACAGAAAATTAAAAAGAATATCCAGGACTTGAACTCAGACCTGGGCCAAGCAAACCTAAAAGACATTTACAGAACCCTCCACCCCAAATCCACATAATATACATACTTCTCAGCACCACATCACACCTACTCTAAAATTGACCACATAATTGGAAGTAAATCACTCCTCAGCAAATGCAAAAGAATGGAAATCATAACAAATAGTCTCTCAGACCACAGTACAATCAAATTAGAACTCAGAATTCAGAAACTAACTCAGAACTGCACAACTTCATGGAAACTGAACAACTGGCTCTTGAATGATGACTGGATAAACAATGAAATGAAGGCAGAAATAAAGATGTTCTTTGAAACCAACGAGAATGAAGACACAACGTACCAGAATCTCTGAGACACATTTAAAGCAGTATCTAGAGGAAAATTTATAGTGATAAATGCCCACATGAGAAGCAAGGAAAGATCTAAAATTGACATCCTATCGTAAAAATTGAAAGAGCTAGAGGCGCAAGATTAAAAAAAAAGCTAGCAGAAGACAAGAAATAACTAAGATCAGAGCAGAACTAAAGGAGATAGAGACACAAAAAACCCTTCAAAAAATCAATAATCCAGGAGCTGGTTTTTTGAAAATATCAACAAAATATACCACTAGCTGGATTAATAAAAAAGAAAAAAGAGAATAATCAAATAGATGTAATAAAAAAAGATAAAGGGGATATCACCACAGATTCCGCAGAAATACAAACCACCTTCAGAGATTACTACAAACAACTCTATGCACATAAACCAGTAAACCTGGAAGAAATGAATAAATTCCTGGACACTTACACCCTCCCAAGCCTAAACCAGGAAGAAGTTGAAACCCTGAATAGACCAATAAGAAGGGCTGAAGTTGAGGCAGCAATTAATAGCTTAGGAACCAAAAAAAGCCCAGGTCCTGATGGGATCACAGTTGAATTCTACCAGACACACAAAGAGGAGCTGCACCACTCCTTCTAAAACTATTCCAAACAATCCAAAAAGGAATCCTCTCCAAATCATTTTGAGGAGCCAACATCATCCTGATACCAAAACCCTGCAGAGACTCAACAAGAAAAGAAAACTTCAGGCCAATATCCATAATGAACATAGATGTAAAAATCTTCAATAAAATACTGGCAAACTGATTGCAATAGCACATCAAAAAGCTTATCCATCACGATCAAGTAGGCTTCATCCTGGGGATGCAAGGCTGGTTCAACATATGCTAGTCTATAAATGTGATTCACCACATAAACAGAACCAAAGACAAAAACCACATGATTATCTCAATAGATGCAGAGAAGGCCTTTGACAAAATTCAACAGCCCTTCATGCTAAAAACCCTTAATAAACTACGTATTGATGGAATGCATCTCAAAATAATAAAAGCTATTTATGATAAACCCACAGCCAATATCATACTGAATGGGCAAAAACTGGAAGCATTCCCTCTGAAATCTGGCACAAGACAAGGATACCCTCTCTCACCACTCCTATTCAATGTAGTATTGGAAGTTCTAGCCAGAGCAATCAGGCAAGAAAGAAATAAAGGGTATTCAATTAGGAAAGGAGGAAGTCAAATTGTCTCTATTTGCAGACGACATGATTGTATATTTAGAAGACCTATTGTCTCCGCCCAAAATCTCCTTAAACTGATAAGCAAATTCAGCAAAGTCTCAGGATACAAAATCAACGTGCAAAAGTCACAAGCATTCCTATACACCAACAACAGAGTTAAAGAGAGCCAAATGAAGAACGAACTGCCTTTCACAATTGCTACAAAGAGAATAAAATACCTAGGAATACAACTAACAAAGGATGTGAAGGACCTCTTCAAGGAGAACTACAAACCACTGCTCAAGGAAACAAGAGAGGACACAAACAGATGGAGAAACATCCCATGCTCATAGTTAGAAAGAATCAATATTGTGAAAAAGGCCATACTGCACAAAGTAATTTATAGATTCAACACTATTCCCATCAAGCTACCAATGACCTTCTTCATAGAACTGGAAAAAAACATTTTAAACTTCATATGGAATCACAAGAGAGCCCACATAGCCAAGTCAATTCTAAGCAAAAAGAACAAAGCTGGAGGCATCACAATACCAGACTTGAAACTATGCTACAAGACTACAGTAATCAAAACTGCATGGTTCTGGTACCAAAACAGAAATATAGACCAATGGAACAGAACAGAGGCCTTGAAGGCAACACCACACATCTACAACTATTTGATCTTTGACAAATCTAACAAAAACAAGCAATGGGGAAAGGATTCCGTTGAATAAATGGTGTTGGGAAAACTGGCTAGCCATGTGCAGAAAACAGAAACTGGACCCCTTCCTGACACCTTACACTAAAATTAACTCCAGCTGGATTAAAGACTTAAACTTAAGACCTAACACCATAAAAACCTTAGAAGAAAACCTAGGCAAAACCATTCAGGACATAGGCCTAGGCAAGGACTTCATGACTAAAATACCAAAAGCATTGGCAACAAAAGCCAAAATAGACAAATGGGATCTAATTAAACTCCAGAGCTTCTGCACAGCAAAAGAAACAATCATTAGAGTGAACCGGCAACCAACAGAATGGGAAAACATTTTTGCAGTCTACCTATCTGACAAAGGACTCATATCCAGAATCTACAAAGAACTAAAACAGATTTACAAGAAAACAAACAAACAAACAAACAAACCCATTCAAACGTGGGCAAAAGATATAAACACTTTTCAAAAGAAGACATGTATGAGTCCAACAAACATATGAAAAAATGCTCATCATCACTGATCATTAGAGAAATGCAAATCAAAACCACATTGAGATACCATCTCACGACAGTTAGAATGGCGATCATTAAAAAATCTGGAGACAATAGATGCTGGAGAGGATGTGGAGAAATAGGAACACTTTTACACTGTTGGTGGGAGTGTAAATTAGTTCAACCATTGTGGAAGACAATGTGGCGATTCCGCAAGGCCTTAGAAATAGAAATTCCATTTGACCCAGCAATCCCTTTACTGGGTATATATCCAAAGGACTATAAATCGTTCTACTATAAGGACACATGCACACGAATGTTCATTGCAGCACTGTTTACAATAGCAAAGACCTGGAACCAACCCAAATGCCCATTGATGATAGACTGGACAGGGAAAATGTGGCACATATACACCATGGAATATTATGCAGCCATAAAAAAAACAATTAGTTCACGTCCTTCGTAGGGACATGGATGAACCTGGAAACCATCATTCTCAGAAAACTGACACAAGAACAGAAAATCAAACAACACATGTTCTCACTCAAAGGTGGGTGTTGAACAATGAGAATACATGGACACAGGGAGGGGAGCATCACATACTGAGGTCTGTCAGGGGGGACTAAGGGAGGGACAGAGAAGAGTAGGAAATTGGGGAGGGATAACATGGGGAGAAATGCCAGATACAGGTGACGGGGAATGAGGCAACAAACCACATTGCCATATATGTACCTCTGCAACAATCCTGCATGTTCTTCACATGTACCCCAGAACCTAAAATGCAATTATATATGTGTGTGTGTGTGTGTGTGTGTGTGTGTAAAACAAGACAACTCCTGCAATTAACTCAGTGTCTGCCCAAATGTCCGCCCAGTTTTGTGCTTGAAACCCAGTAGCATAGACAGCTGAGGGAATCTCCTGGTCTGTGGCTTCCAAAGACTGTGGAAAAGCATAGGATTTGGGCCAGAGTGCACCATTACTTGTGGCTCAGTCCCTCACATCTTCCCTTGGCTAGGGGAGGGAGTTCCCCAACCTTTTGCACTTTCCAGGTGAGGCAATGCCCTACCCTGCTTCAGCTCACCCTCCATGGACTTTACCCATTGTCTAGCCAGTCCCAGTGAGATGAGTCAGGTACTTCAGTTGGAAATGCAGAAATCACCCACCTTCTGCATTGATCTCACTGGGAGCTGCAGACCAGAGCTGTTCCTATTCGGCCATCTTGCCAGCCACCGACAAAACTCTTATGTTTAAAGACAGGGATTTATAACCCATCAGGAACATTTTCAAGTCACAGCACTTACTACCACTTACTATACACACCATTGGTGGGAAAGGACACTTAAAAACCACTCACCTTTTCTCTCTCAATTTCTGATGGGAGTTCAAAGCCTTTTGCTGCGAGAAATACCCAGGAAGACCTGAATTTCATGTTCCTGATTTCTCTACTTCCAAGTGCTTCTATGGCATTCTTGGCATCATCCTTCAGTCTGTGGGACAAAGGGGAAAGCATGTGAACATCTCAGGGAGATGTTTGTGAACACTTCAGGGAGCCGTGGATGGGAGGGGAGCTCTGCTCTGGGTGTGTTACGCCCTGCGTCCTTGGACAGAGGTTTCTAAACACAGCTATCTCCTGCTGCAGTGCATGACACGCAGTGGCGGCCAAGAGGCACACAGGCTTGTTGAAGATGTCACATTTCTAGTTAACCACAGGACATCCAGAGCCACTTCAGACCTCAATTTTGGGAATTCTACTTTTCAATTCTGGAAAGCCCTTGTGCTTTGGGCTGAATCACAGGCTCGCACTCAGCCAACACAGTTTTTGGCTACTGCTCTGCCCCTTGTTTACTGACCACAGAATAAAGTGGAGAGGAGTTGCTGAAAGACAGAAGCAAATGTCAAACCACCTCCTTTTCATAACCAGAAAGTCAGCACCATAAAGGAGAAAGAAACGTCAAACAGCACTGCCACTGCAAACAGTGAGATCTACAGGAAGTGACAGGAGGGAGAGAGGAAAGGAAACAAGGAAGTTTGGATTGTTCTGAGTGAGTCACTTCAAAGTATGTTCCAAGGAACCTGGGTTTGGTAAGACGCTCCATAAAGAAAGGAACCTGAGGTCAGAGAAGTTGGGGAATGTTGTGGTCAGCAGCCCTATCTGGGAAATTCACAACAGCAACAAGCACTTTGAAGCTTCTTAGAAACTCTGCAGCGAAGACACAAGTTCACTTAATCAGACACACTCTGAGAAGCACTGAGCTACACCTACCTCTCGTATTTCTTTATTATTTTCCTCTTTCTCTAGGGAAATTATTCCCATTTCCTTTCACATTGCTGTAAGTACTAATGCCACCCTGGGTTTAGGATTTCTGCCCAGAGGTTCGTTTTTCTGTCCTAATTATGGTCAGCAGTGGCTTTGTCTTCATTCCTGGAAATACTCCTTTGATTTAGATTCTAGTACTGCTGTGCTCCACTGGTCAGTGATTTTATTTTATTTTATTTTTAAAGAAATGCAATCTATTTTGTCATGATTTTTATTGTTTTTCCTTAGAGAAGTACTTTACTCCTGGACTTTCTGGTTGACCCCAGAGGATGTCACTGAGGGACCCTGGCATTCCCTGCCCCAGCTGGCTTCTCTTGCCCACCGCTGTGACAAATCCACACCCGCTCACCTTGTGCTTCCGTCGTCATATGTCACCATGAAGAGCAGAGATTTTGAAGGAGCACTCTGAATAAACTCTGTCATCGGTCCGGAGTTATCTGTTGGGTGATGCAAGTCGGTTTTAGGGTCTTTGCTGTTCATTGAACCTTGGGCTCTGGGCTTCCTCTTGCACCTGCCTTCTGTGCCCACTCTGAATCCTCGGACTTCTAGCACTTACCCCTCAACCCTGCAGATGGTGTTCTAGGGTTGAGCACTGGATGTGTAAACATTCACAGGGGTACCATGGGGACTATCTGGGGTGAGTGGCACAGCGTAGAAGGAATACAACTATGCAGAACACTTGCAATAGGTATTCAGGGTGGTAGTGAAAGGGGGTCAAGATAAGGAGCTGTTATGACCAACAAACAAGAGAAGTGGAGCCCCTGGTGGGGGGCGAGGAACCTCCTTAGAAATTAGATCATAAAGATTCTATTAACTGAACTCTCAACAAGCAGCAGGCTGTGCAGAACAGGTGGAGTGTTCTCTGTGTTAACTCACAAAGAGCCACATCCACACCGTGACTGTGGAGCAGAGTGACCTTGCAATCACACCGATGTGTGCAGGAGAGAGACTGCCATAGAACTTAAATACAAGAGTTGTGGACTAGGGGCAGGTCTGTGCTGAGACCCACCTGTGCCTTATAAAGTAAAGGTAAAGCTCGCCATGTGGCTCATTGTTTCCAGCTCTGCTTGGGTTATCTGCAGAGCACAACTGCACCCTTCTGTTCGGTGGATACAGGCATTTTCTATTCCTCATCTTCACTATCTTAAAAAAAAAACTTGCTTTTGAAACTCTCAGTACAAATAAAAATAAGAGAGGATAGTATATCCTGACCAACTACTGTAGTCAAGATTCAGTGCCCAGGAAGGGGGAGACCATTGAGAAAGACTGGGGACGCGTGGGTTCCAGAAATGCTCGCCCTGGGCCCAGCAGAGGACCGAGTCGCCAGAAGTCATTGCGGCAGCTTTTAAAGGATGATGATATTGAGGGCGGAATGCTGGTGGCCTTATTTTACATATAATGTATTTGGCATTTTCTAAAAAAGGCTTTTTTCTCTTTCTTATTATATCACGAAGACTAAAAAGAGGAAAACTGTAATAGAAGAAAAGACATTTCTGGGTAATGCCTTCAAATGGCCTATGAATTTAATCAGAGCTCAGGAGGGTCTAGAGACCACTCTGGATTACTCAGGGGAGTGCTGGCAATTTTCTAGTAGACAGAATAAAAGATGGTTGGCATTTCTTCTTTGTGCTTTTTAATCTTAATTTTATGTTTCAAATTCATTTGAATTTTAACAGAAAAACTTTCCTTACCACCTTCATACATATCAAAACACCTTGCTGCTGTCACATTCCCGGTTACATCTGAAAATAAAATAAACAGAATTTTAAAGGAAAGTTCACAGAACCGGGGCACACTGGTGGCACTAGGGCCTGGGGAAGAACATATTTCTTCCCTGTCTGTCTCCAGGAAGCACCCCTCATGTGATGACCCAGCCTGCAGAGACAGGGCTGGCCCTTTGAGGAGAGTCCCCGAAACCAGGCCAGAGGAAAGTGTGGGAAGTTGTGCTAGAACTTCCTTCCAGTTTGCTTTGGGTTACACCTGATGGAACACTAACACCTCCCCCACCCACCTCATCCCACAGAAACACCAGACTCTTCACCCAGGCCTTCTTCCCACAGAAACACCAGAGCCCCCTCACCCAGGCATACCCACCTCATCCCACAGAAACACCAGACTCTTCACCCAGGCCTTCTTCCCACAGAAACACCAGAGCCCCCTCACCCAGGCATACCCACCTCATCCCACAGAAACACCAGATGGCCCTCAGCCAGGTTCACCCCCGTCTTTCCACAGAAACACCAGAGCCCCCCACCCAAGCCCACCCCCCTCTTCCCACAGAAACACTGGAACCCCTCAGCCAGGCCCACCCGCCTCTTTCCACAAACACCAGAGCCCCCTCACTCAGGCCCACCCTTCTCTTTCCACAGAAACGCCACAGCCCCCTCAGTCAGGCCCACGTGCCACATCTCACAGAAACAGGAGAGCCCCTCAGCTCATTCACTTCCTACTTTCCAGTCTCCTTCAGGGCTGGCCGACCAGGAGCATTTGATCTCCACTTCCACAGCCCTGGCGTCCTGGGGCTGTGCTGTCCACTCACTCTGAGGGACGTTGTGGGAAACCCTTTCCTTCTCCTTTGGGCCCCTCAACAGCAACTGCGACAGAGCTTTATATGGGGCCTAAGACAAAGGCCAAGTTTTGTTGCCCACGAGGCTGCTGTGGCTTTTATCACACAGAAGTATGAGCTGGCCTGTGGCGTCAGCGCCTGAGCAGACTCTGGGACTCTGGGGGCAAATGAGGCTCAGTCCAGGACCACAGGCTGCACCCCCTTGGTGGCGCTTCCGGTTTTAACCCTGCCTGTGGCCTGTCCCTCTGTATTTGAGTCTATATTTAGTTTTCAGTTGTTTATTTGTTGTTAGAACCACAAATAATCTGTGAAGTGAGTCTTGTAAAAATAATTGAATATATAATCTTAAAATGCATTAAAATATAAAGCTAGACTAAACCATGTGCAAAAATCTTGAAAACCCAAGCTGTCTTTCAAAATCTGACCAGAGAGCTTTTAGAGAAGTTTAAAGAGAACGTTAAGGAACTTACAGTTGACAATGGCAATGTTTATTCCTCTGGCGACGTTCCCCAGCTTTTCTCCCATGAGCCTGAAATGTAACTAAGCGTTAGTCAAGTACCAAGAAGCCTGCAGCAGTCCCTGCTCCACGAAGTCTCTGCCTGGCCAAATGTCAGGCTCATCTGCTGTCCCGACTATTTCCCTGAAGGTCCACACCAGCCTTGGTGCGGCTCCCGAGAACACCACCCCCGTGCCCACCCACACACATCTATTCCCAGTGTCTACAGACTCAGTCCCTTGGGGGACCTGGAATCTCAGGGGACCTGGACACTGCATTCAATCTTAAAATGTAGACAGATGGCTAGGGGGAAGAGAAACTGACATTTATTTAGCTGAGGCTCTTCACTGATGTACTTTAATTTTAATTTATTATTTATTTATTCACTGAGACAGGGTCTCGCTCTGTCATCCAGGCTAGAGTGCAGTGGTGCGATCTTGGCTCACTGCAACCTCTGCCTCCCAGGCTCAAGCAATCCTCCCATCGTAGCCTCCCAAGTAGCTGGAACTACGAGTGTGCGCCACGACACCTGACTAATTTTTAAAATTTTTTTGGAGAGATAGAATTTTGGCATGCTGCTCAGGCTGGTCTGGAACTCTTGGGCTCAAGCAATCTGCCTGCCTCAGCCTCCCAAAGTGCTGGGATTACAGACATGAGCCACTGTGCCCAGCTATGTCACTTAATTTTAATCATTTAAATTAGAGAACATGAAATGTCAAATTCAGAGGATTGTGTCCTAAAACAAGAGAGAGGAAATGACTTTCTGGAGATGGTAATTATGACTGAAGATCACAGAAATGGTGTGTGTGCAGGTTCCCTTGGTCAAGTTTCAGAATCAATGACATGTTAGTTTTATGAAAAGAATCTGGAAGTCTTCTTCCTTTTTCCATGCTTTGGAATAGCAAGTATAGAACTTTAATATTCTGCTTTTGACAACTTTACCTAACTCCCCCCATGAGTTTTCTAAGCTTAGTGCTTTTTGACAGTTTTAGAGAATATTCCATAAGAACTTGAAAAGAAGCATAAAGAAATTTCTGGTCATCTGAACCTATTCCCTCATAGAGAAAAGCAGAAAAGATGAGGCAAGTTTTGTAGCTACTGTTGTTGTTAAAGATCTGCTTGTACAGAGTAGAGACAAAATAAGATAGTCAAGAATTTCCCAGGCCAAGATCTAGAAGACTAAATTTCGGGGTGGGAAGTCCAGCATTTAAAGCTACTTTTAACCAAGGACAATTTTCTAATTCCAGAAAAAGTATGTAAGGAAGGGAACAGCACTTCTGACAACCACGTGAGCCAGGGGAACAGAAGCTGGAAGCTAGGGTTAGAGCCGTGTTGAATCTCCCACATCTTATTTGGGCTGGGGTCACAGAGGGTTGAATCCTGAAAGTGAGAGGAAACCAGAAATAAATCAGAGCTTGTATAGACTTCAGCCTAGTTTTTAGTCAACTAGGTGGCCCAGAAAATCTTTAACATTTATTCAGGTCATCCAGTTCTGCTGAAGGTTCCAGGTCCCTGGGAGAAGCAAAGAAAATTCCTCAGAAGAAGATATCATCCCAGGCCTCAATTTTTTTAAAAAACAGGTACAGGATCAAATGAAACATAACCTGTGAGGAGGGAAGTCAGTGCACACAAGAGCCAACGGAACCGGCAGAAAACAGCAGGTAGCAGCGGCAGACTCCCAGGCCCTCCACGTGCTACAGGTATGCAACCCAGACTTTAACTGTAATGTATTCCGGAACATGGTTGATAATTAAAAATGTCACAACCGAAAAGTACCAAAGCTGACATGCTGATTTAAAAAAGAACCAGAATAAAGTTCTAAAACTAAGGTAATATAGTAACCTAAAATCACTAGTCATTGGATGGGTTTAACAGTAGATTAGGTACAGTGGAAGAGAGAATCAGTGAATGGAAAACAGCTCTGTCCACAATAAAGAGCAGAGACAAACAGATGGAAAATACAAACTAGACTGTAGGCTACGGAGAATATAGTAGTGATAAGGTCTAACATGTTTCATGCAGAATCTCAGAGGAAGAGGAGAAAGTGAATGGGGCCAAAGATACAAGGGCAGAGAATTTGTTACATTTGATGAAGGACTTCAATATCTACATCTTTAAAAAACTCAAGAAACCGCAAAGAAGATAAAACAACAAAAGACACATCAGGATACCAATGCTGAAAAATCAAAGACAAGGAATTACAAAGGCATGGGGGTGGGGAGAATAGGCAGTTACTTTCCCAGGAGCAACAATTAGACTGTCCGCTGACTTCTCAAAAGAATAAAAAATAGAACCTAGAAGACAGTGGAATAGTACCTTGAATGTGCTGAGAGAAAATAATGGCCAAGACAGCCTGCAGAAGTACTTTTCAGGAATGAAGATGGAATAAAGATATTTCGGAGAAACATAAACTGAAGAATTCACCACGAGCAGACCACGTAGCAGCATTTGCTCTGTATCTTCTGCTGTAATAAATCTCACCTATAAGCATAACCTGTCACTGAATCTTAGGAGTTTTTCTCGAGTGTCACCAAATTTGAGGCTGGTTGTGAGAACTCCTCTTTAAAAAAAAGAACTCAATAGAAATGTATGCACATGTGCACCAAGAGATATAAACAGCACTGGTCCTAATAACTCCAAACTGGAATGACCCAGCTGTCGTTCAACAACGGAATGGATAAACTGTAGCATATTCATGCAATGCAATGTGATACAGCAATGAACATCTCAGAACAATAGCTACGTCCAACATCAAGGATAAATCTCACACATACAACTTTAAGCAAAAATGCCAGACACAAAAGAGTACTTGGTTTATGATTCTGTTTACACAGAGTCTGAAACAGACAAAATTAAACAAGTGTTTAATTAAATAACAGTATTTTGCAATGCATGCTTGGGCAGTAAAACTACCAAGAAAAGCAAGGAAATGATCACCCATCAAAGCCAAAAACCAGTGTATTGGGCAGGAAGGAAAGAGGAAGTTGCATTTGGGAAGGGGCACACAGAGGGCTTATGGAGTGCTAGAGATAGTCTATTTCTTAGCAAGGATGTTGGCTACACAAGTGTTCACTTTATCATAATTAATTACAAAATGATATATCCATAAGGTCGTTCACTGCAGCATTATTGGTAATACCAAAAGATATCAAACATCAGAAATGCCTGTCAGTGCAGAACTAGTTGAATAAAGTATGACACATCCATGCTATGGAAATCAATAAAGGAAATGAGGAAAAGCTTATGGATTGATATGGAGTAATCTCTACTAACCATTAAGTGAAGAAAGCCAAGGGCGAAACTGTGTTTAGAGTTTACCACCTTTTAAGTAAGAAAGCATATATATGTATGTGTACATATGTGTGTATGCACACATATTCATACACACATATACATATATTCACATGTATACATGCATACATATGTATATAAAAATATACTCCAAAGTATGTGTGTATTAATTATAGATATAGCTTATTTTTGCCATTAAAAAATACTGGAAGAATAAATAAAAAACTAAAAAATCAAGATGGGAACAGGACATGGGAGAAAAAGTGGAGAATATAGGGAAGATTTCTCTGAGTCTCTTTTTTGGGACATAAAATGTTCAAACATAATGTTGATTTCTGAACCACATAAATATATATTCAAAAATTAAATGAAACCCAAAGAAAAACAGACAAACCTAGAATTAAAAGCAAATGGAAATTAATCCACCTGTAACATAACTACGGGGAAAATAATTATTTCATATGACTTTGCTCATTGCTATGAGTTGAACGTCTGTCCCCTCTCAAATTCATGTGGAAATTTAATTGCTTTTGTAACAGTATTAAGAGGTGGGACCTTAGGAGGTGATCAGGCAATGAGGGTTCTCCCTCATGAATGGATTAATGCCATTATCACAGGAGTGGGTGAGTTCCTTATAAAAGGACAACTTCAGTCCCCTTTTGCCTCTCTCTCTCTTTCTGCTGGAGCTGGGACACCCTTCTACTTCTCCTACCTTGGACAGGAGAACTCCAGGCTCTTCAGCCTTTGGACTCCACGAGTGATGCCAGTAGACCTCTCATCTCCTATTGATTCTCAAACTGAGAATTATACCACCTGCCTCTCTGGTTCTGAGGATTTAATATTTGGACTGAGTCATGTTACCAGCATCCCAGGGTCTCCAGCTTGCATGGGGCTTCCTGGCCTCCATAACTGGATGAGCCCATTTCCCTAATAAATAAATCCCCTCTTTCCTTTCTCTTCCTACCTCCCACCGCCATTGGCTCTGTCTCTCTGGAGAACTTTGATTAATATAGATATCTGCCTCTTTATAACCTGGTATTGTAATTTGAAGGCAAAGGTTAACAGTACTAGGAACCAAGATTCTCAGTGTAAGAGAAGAGTTAAAAAGTAAAATAAAAAAACTTAAGGGGGTGAGACTCCTGCACTGTTCAATTTGAATTGTAAATAGTAATGTAAATTTGTGATTCAGAAACAAAGGCATTGCTTGGTTCTGTCCACTAAAGGTGCTTAGGAGGAACACTATCCAGGGGCCGTGAGTGTCTAGATCTGTTTCCAAATACCATGTCCCATTAAAGAACTGTCTCTTTAGAGAAATGGCTGATTTCAGTGGGAACAAAAAGACTCTGCTGAGCTTGGCTGTGCTATAAATCCAGGAAGCACTAAAAAACCAAAGGGGGTCACTGAAGAAGAAACAGATAAGTGGTGCTACACTTATTACATTAGTTAAATTTTCAGTTAAAAACCTCAAAATGAACCCCTCCAGGAAAGAACGGCTGTGTCGGGAAATCACACCAAATATTTAAAGAAGAAATCATATCAATCCTATGGATTTTCCCAAAATATTGAAAAAGTATGAGGTGCGGACTGCAAAGAGGAACAACACCTGCTTTAATGCAGGAGGGTGAGGATCATAAAACAAAACTAACAAACTATCAGCGGAGTTTTCATGTTCCCATGACTTTGAAGGGCTTGGCCACATATTCAGAGTAAAGTAGTCCGCCTTTGTTCAGAGCCCACCTGGCCCTGCACACCCGAGGGTCCCGTGCCCCCACGTCCCCCACACACCTTCACTGCGTCACTACTGATCCCTACTTGGATCACAGAGCAGTTGCCTATCATCACCCAGAGAACCCACAGGGCTGTGTTGAGTTCAGATTTAAATCCTAAGTGTAACTGCAGTTAAATGAAACATAAAACCATTCAAGACAGGACACATACAGCCATCAGAGACAATCAGCTCCTTCCCTGATGAAGACAGCGGAGCTTTCTCATTTCCACCTGGATGCTCTCAGTCTTTTGCCTGAGACCAAGGACATATATATGTTTCTCTCCTGTGGGCAGAACTGCTGCTTGGTCAGCCTCAGGGAAGGGGTAGCTTTGTTTTCCTTCTGAACGCTGGCACTTACAGGTTGTCCTCAAAGCAGATTTTGGCATACTTGTTTTTGCCACCTCCACTGAGTAACCGGTAGGCATAGGTGTCAGATGGGCAGGGAGTCCAGTGGTCACATTTTTGTCTTTTGGGAGCTGGGGCTGTAATGAGTAAGAAAGAATATAGCCGTTAACATCCCACAGTGATTTATGGATGCGCCTGCTGCTTGGCGGAGAGCACCAGTGCTTCATACCAGAAACTCCAAGCAGCGGTGGGAAAACCTGATGGGCAGGATTTCCAGACTTCACTGGGAATTCTCCTAAAGACACAAAGCTAACTCAATCTAAGTCTATTTTATTTATTTATTTTTTATTAGGAAGGAAATAAGGGAAGAAAATAACAAACAAACAGCCAAGTCATATTTCATTTAAGTCTGTGAAATGCTATGCAAATGCTGAAGAATGATTTACTTCCAATTATGTGGTCACTTTCAAAATAGGTGTAATGTGATACTGAGAAAACTGTATGTTCTGTGGACCTGGGATGAAGAATTCTATAGATATTCACTGAATTTATGTGTTACAGGTCTGAGATCAAATCATAAAAGTCCCTGTTAATTTTCTATCTCGTTGATCCATCGAATATTAACAATGTGGTGTCAAAGTCTCCTGCTATTATTGTGCAGGAGTCCAAGTCCAATCTGATTCTATTTTAAAGTGACAAATAAGCAAAGGGGGAGAGGGATATTGAGTAGGTGTAACAATTTTAAAAGGGCTGGGAATCACTGCCTATGGCAGCCCATTATGACATTCTTGGTGGGCAATGTAATTTACATTACAATAAAAGAAAGATTACAGGGGTCTAAGAGTGCTGGTGAGCAAACAGAGCCCTCTGTGGAGCATCTATAAAGCTTCTGCATCTATACAGCCTTTGTTACCTTAAATACACATCACACAACATGCCACATACACCATAAACACACACGCCATGCATATCATACACACACCACATACTCAACACATGGACACCCACACCACACATGCAGACATATACACCACATGATGTATCTCTCTCACACACACACACACACACACCATACACAGCACACATTCACACACATCATACAACATGCTATACACCTCACACACACATCATGTGCTCACCACACACACGCACACCATACCATATAGATACACACATCACAGATGTACACACACACAGACCACACCACTCCCACACACACACTCATACACACAACATACCACACACAAACACATACACTCTATATCACATACACATGACCACCACAGTTGACCCACTCTCCTTTCACTTGAGTGTGAGAAACTGAGCTTTTAACCCAGGATGCTCTGATGTCAGACCCTGGAGATGTCTCTCCTAGCATCAGCATCCTTATTCACAGGGTTCATCAATTTGGGAAGATTGAGGCTGGAATGCGGGGAGCCACCTGGCCCTGCAGACTCCTGAGGCTCCCATCTGCCCACATCCCCCCGACATCTTTCACTGCATCACTACCGATCCCTACTCAGACCCCAGAGTAGTTGTCTATCATTACCCACAGAACCCACAGGGCTGTGCTCAATTCAGATTTAAATCCTAAGTCTACAGAAAGGAATTCAGAAAGCACTCTCTCGCCTTAGGTTTGAGTAGAAACTTGGCTCTCTATTTTATGAATTATAGTACTCTTAGCACCTTAAGCTAAGAAGTGTGGTCAGCGAATTGGTAGATTTTACAATAAATATCACAAGTAAAGAATCAAGGCTTACCACTGTAGACAATCATATAATCACAAACAAAGACAGGAAGAAAGGAACAAAGGATCTACAAGACAACCAGAAAACAATTAACAAAATGGAAGTAGTAAAGCCTTGTCTATCAATAATTACTGTAGATGTAAATGAAATAAATTCCCTAATCAAAAGTCATAGATTAGCTAGATGGATTCAAAAACAAACACAAAAAACCAGACCCAACTATATGTTGCCTACAGGAGACTCACTTCACCTTTTAAAAAACCATATAGATTGAAAGTAAAAGGATGGAAAAAAATATGCCATGCAAATGGAAACCAAAAGAGAGCAGGGACGGCTATATTTACATCAGTTTAAATAGACTTTAAGTCAAACTTTTACAACGATGATAACTACATGATAATAAAGGAAGAAGTTCATCAAGAAGACATAACAATTATAAATATATATGCACCCAACATCAGAGCACCTAAATACATAAAGCAAAAATTAAGAAATCTGAAGGCAGGAATAAACTGTAATACAATAATAGTAGTGAATGCCAATACCCCACTTTCAATGTTGAACAGATCAGTCAGGCAGAACATTTTTTAAAAATTAAATTTTGTCTTAGTCTATTCAGGCTGTTTTAAAAAAATACCTTAGGCTGGATAATTTGTAAATCACACAAATTTATTTCTTAAGCAACTTCAACTTCAACAACTCCTCCTCTTCCTCCTCCTCCTCCTCCTCCTCCAAGTCTCACTCTGTCACCCAACTGGAGTGTAGTGTGTAAACTCAGCTCACTGCAACCTCTACCTCCCAGGTTCAAGGAATTCTCCTGCCTCAATCTCCCAAGTAGCTGGGACTACAGGCATGCACCACCATGCCTGGCTAATTTTTGTATTTTTAGAAGAGATGGGGTTTCACCATGTTGGCCAGGCTGGTTTTGAACTCCTAACCTCAGGTGATCTACCCACCTCAGCCTTGCAAAGTGCTGTAATTACAATTGTGAGCCACCATGCCCAACCTATTTCTTAAACTCCTAGAGGCTGGGAAATCTAAGGTCAGGTGCCAGCAGATGCAGTGTCTGATAAGGGCCCATTCTCATAGATTGCACCTTGGTGCTGTGTCCTGACATGGTGGAAAGGGGCAAACATTCACCCTTCAATCTCGTTTATAAGGGTGCTAATACCATTCATAGGGGATCTAATCCCATTCATAAGTCTGCATGTCTTAATTTCCACAAAGTCCTACTTCTTAATACTATCAGATTAGTAATGAGGTTTCAACATACAAATACTGTTAGGATATCAACACTCAGCATAGAAGGCACAGGAGACTTGAATTGCAGTTCACACCAAATGGACCTAATAGACATATACAGATCATTCCATCCAGAAGCAACAGAATATCCATTCTTCTGAAGCACACATACAATGTCTTCCAGGACAGGCTTAGCTCTCTATTTTAGGCCACAAAACAAAACTTAATAAAGGTAAGAAGACCGAAATTGCATCAAGTATCTTTTCCTACTACCATGGTATGAAACTAGAAATTAATAATCAGGGTATATTAGGCCATTATTCCATTGCTATAAAGAAATACTTGAGACAGAGTAATTTATAAATAAAAGAGAGTTGGTTGGCTCATTGTTCTGCAAGCTGTACAGGAAGCATGGTGCTAGCATCTGCTTAGTTTCTAGGGAGGCATCAGAAAACTTAAAATCATGGTGAAAGGCAAAGGGGGTTCATGGCCAGAGCAGGAGCAAAAGAGAGTGAGGGTGAGAGGAGGTGTCACACATTTTTTAAAAACCAGACCTCATGAGAACTCACCATCAAAGGGATGGATGGTAGAAACCATTCATGGGAAATCTGCTCCCATGATCCAACACCTCTCATCACGCTCCACCTCCAACAATGGGGATTACATTTTGATGTGGAAATTTTTGGGGCTACAAATCCAAATCATGTCATTTTGCCCTTGGTCCCCCAAATATCTTGTCCTTCTTACATTGTAAAATACAATCATGCCTTCCCAATAGTCCCCCAGAGTCCAAAATCATTCCAGCATTCACTCAAAAGCCCAGAGTCCCAAGTCTCATCAGAGACAAGGCAAATATCTTCCACCTACAAGCCTGTAAAATCACAAACAATTTATTTACTTCCAGGATAAAATGGGGATACAAGCATTGGGTAAATATTCTCATCCCAAAAGGGAAAAAATCGGCCAAAAGAAAGACTATAGGCCCCACACAAGTCCAAAACCCAGCAAATCTTAAAGCTCCAAAATAAATTTCCTTCAACTCCATGTCTCACATCCAGGGTACACTGGTGTGAGGGGTAGACACTCAAGGGCTTGGGCAGCTAGCTCCACCCCAGTGGCTTTGCAAGGCTCAGTCCCTAAGGCTGCTCTCACAAACTGGCATTAAGTTTTTGCATCTTTTCCATGCAGAGGGTACAAGCTGCCAGGATCTACCACTCTGGGGTCTGGAGGATGGTGGTCCACTTCCCACAGCTCCACTAGGCAGTACTCCAGTGGGGACTCTGTGCAGGGACTCAAATCCCACATTTCCCCTTTGCACTGTCAGAGTACAGGTTCTGCCTCTTCAGCAGGTTCTGCTTGAGCACTCAGGATTTCCCATATATATTTTCTGAAATCTAGGTGGAGGCTCCCAATCATTAACTGTTGCATTCTGTGCATCTGCAGGCTTAGTATCAAGTGGAAGCCCCCAAGGCTTATGGCTTGCACCCTCTGAAGCAACGGCTTGAGCTATACCTGGGCCCCTTTGAGCCATGGCTGAAACTAGAGCTGCTGGGATGCAGGGTACAGTGTCTAGAAGCTGAACAGGTTAGTGGGGCTCTGGGGCTGGCCCATGAAACCATTCTATACTCTCAGGCCTCTGGGACTGTGATGAAAGGAGCTGCTGCAAAGGTTTTTGAAATGCCTTTGGGGCCTTTCCCCCATTCTCTTGACTAATAGAACTTGGTTTCTTTTTACTTTTGCAAATTTCTGCAGCCTGCTTGAATTCCTCCCCAGAAAATAGGCTTTACTTTTCTACCACATGGCCAGGCTGCAAATTTTCCAAATTTTTATTCTCTGCTTCCCCTTTAAACATAAGTTCCAACTTTAAGTAATTTCTTTGCCCACAATTATGAGTTATTAGAAGCAGCCAGGCCATATCTTCTATTAGATACCCTGAAGCATCACTCTCAAGTTCAGAGTTCCACAGATCCCTAGATCAAGGGCTCAATGTAGCCAAGTTCTTTGCTAGGGCGTAATAAAAGTGACTTTTGCTCCAATTCCCAATAAGTTCCTCATTTCCATCTGAGACCTCGTCAGCCTGGCCTTCACCATCCATACTATTATCAGCATATTTGTCACAACCATTCAACTAGTCTCTAGAAAGTTCC